GAGACTCTGGGAAAGAGAAAAAAGCAGCATGCACACACACACACACACACACACACACACACACACACACACACACACACAGAGAGAGAGAGAGTAAAAAGGGAAAAGTGGCCCTTCATCATGGAGGAAGCACTTAGAGGCTTGTTGCTAAAGCAACAGGCTTTTGTTTAAATTATGTGGGTAATGAAGAAGTTGAGCAGAGTTTGTCACACCAACACACACACACACACACACACACTTCACAATAGGAGTGGAAAGAGTGCAAAACCCAAATGCACAATGTGTCACAAATTCGGTGCCCTTAATGGTGTGTGTTTCAGACGGTGTGAATGAGTGACTGGCAGTTCAAACAAGCATGCACACGTATGATGTCATCACAAACACACTCACTGTGACTGTCATGAAGCCTGCTGGTTTTTCTAACGCAATCATTTTGTGTTGCCAGAGCTCCACGACAATTTTTTTTTTTTTTTTAGGTGAAAGAAATACATAAATGAAGAAGAAAGCCAAAATATTAAATGCCATGGATGAATATTTACTGAGTAATGCACTATTTTGTAGACAGGGTCAAAATGATTATTTTCACCCAAGATTTGGAGCCAAATAACTGACTTTAGAAAGCTTTGAAAGCACAGAAATTGGTAGCTCCATTAGTAGAATCTGTTGAATTTAGCAATCTATGTTGCATTATATGCCAAAATAATAATATAAGATAGTTCAGAAATGGGAAAAAAAGTACTTCCCATATTTTTTCCCCAAGGTTTGCAAGCCTTAAATATATGCATTAATGATATCTTAATATCACTACAAATTCTGTTTTTTTTTTGTTTTTTTTGGTATCTTCATTTTTTAAGGGGTCATATGATGGTATTTTAAAGATCATTATTTTGTGTATTTGGTGTAACATAATATGTTGACATGCTTTAATGTTCAAAAAACAATTTTTTTTCAAATACTGTACATTATAGTAGGTCCTCTATGCCCCGCCTCTCTCAAACACGTCGTTTTCAACAAAGGCCCCTCCTTTGACAAGCGCAGTCTGCTCTGATTGGCCAGCTGTCCCAGTCCATTGTGATTGGCCGAACACCACAAGCACGCGTCGGAAATGTAACGCCCCTTACCATTAGCTAAAACACACTCATGCTTTTTATTAAAGATGAGAACACTAAATTCTACTTATTCTCACAAAAATTTAAGTTTCTCAGATCATAATCCAACATCTAATATTAGATCAAATCTAATTAAAACTAATACCTTAAGAAGCTAAGTGAACAAATAACATATTAATTTACTTATTTAATAAATAAAG